TGGCGCCGTCGTATTGGGCTGGTGAACCTAGTCGGCGATCGGAGTTGGCGGCGGTGGCTTCCTCGTCAGCGGCATATAATGGCTATCGTGTGGAGGGAAAACCGGCGGCTTGGATTAATTGATATGAAGTGACTAAAATTTGTGTGTTTTTAAATTTTGTTGTTAATGAAATGGGCATTAAAAGCAATCGAGGGGCATGGAGTGATTTCAATTGAATGGGTTTAAAATGATTCAAATAAGTAAGTATCAAGTGCGAGTGAGTGGGTGTCTATTGTTAAGGTGACCAGAATTTCTCAACACTCCAGGAGGACAAATTATCCACATTAAAAACACAAAATTTTTTTATATTAATTCAACACATAAATACCGAATTAATTAACAGTTCAAAATTTATTTAAACACAAGTCAAACAAGTTAATAGTATACTGCGTTGCATAATTATAAGTCCGCCACATATTAACAAGCTTTGACTATTATTTATTTGTCATTGTATTATTTGCAAAAGAAATTTCATTAACGTATTTAATACTCTTAATCGTCTCTAAAACAACCTACTTCAGGGTAATTTTTTAGATAATTTACGTATTGTCCTACAAGAATATGCCCAGAAAAAAACATGTATCCCATTTCTATAACTTTTGTTAACGGTTCAAAGGTTATGACATTTTTAATGAAACAAACTTTTTTTTAATTTTATTTACATAGAAAATTTCAAATGCCCACCGACACCTTTTAAAATTTAAAAAAAGTTTTCCAAGTGGGAGAATTTCATTCTCAGCAACTAGTTAATTTTAAGTTCATAATTTCGCTACGTTAATTAATTTGGATCACCCTAATATATATAAATATGCACAAGAATTACTCGTTTAAAGTAATAAGAATAAGTGCCCAAATTTTCCGGAAAACACTTACATATTTGGCAAAAAAAAAAAAATGACATATAGTAGGCAATAATTTTCGCCTGTGGAGACGCGCCGTTAGGTAGTCTTTCAGTGTTGTAGAGGGTAATATGGCTTTCCAACGGCACCGTGAATTATTGTGTTCGCTTCTCCAATTACGATCGCGAATTATCCCATTCTCACTTATTCGATTTGACAGTTCTCTATCTCTGCGTTTAGTTTAGTCCAATGAAAATTAGAGATGACAGCGATTTGTTCGTAATTCGCATGGTAATTGGAACTGAATTTTGAAAATTTTGTATCACGAATTACGTAATTTGAAGGGTAATTGGAGTGCGAATTACGATTGAGAGTGCGAACTACGTAATTGGGGCGCCGTGGGAAATATTATTAAATATTAGCTTTGTTCCAGACGCTTTCTGTGGCGTTTTCCATTTCCACAACAGCTGTTATGGCAATTTGACTTTTTGCACATTTGTGCCCGGAAAAAAAGCCTGGGCTGTTTCGGGCCCAAAGAAGACATTTTCGATCCAAAAGTGGAACGTATTCGTTCTCTGTTTCCTACTTTATAGCGTGAGGAAAGCTTTCTGTACTGTTTTGGGATACCGCGGGCTCGTGTGAAACAAACGTATTGTTGAATAAGGCTAAAGGCGTTTACACAGTTCAACTTTCACAGGCGGTTAGTTGAATCAAAAGTTTACATCATTTAACTGAAAGTTTTAAATGCAATGATTGCGTACGATTAGGAAATATGTATGTATTAATATTCTGAACGAAATTTTTCAAAACTTTCATCAATGCTATATAACTTGAAAAAGAGGACAAGGAAGATATTTTTCCTCAAAAGGAGTTCTCGATTCTCCACACACAATTTTTGATGTGCACAAATCACGGAGGAGGACAATCCTTCTCAAAGAAGGAAATGTTAGACGATTTTTTTTTCAAAGTTGTATTTCTAACTTTGTTTGATCGCGACTAGAGGCTGAATACACAACGATCAGTTTAACATGTTTTCTTCTTACTTAGCAGTGCACTCCACTATTGGTCTGAGCCTATACAAAAAAAAAACAGCGCCAATTTTATCTCTCATTTGAGAAGTTCAAAATTATGACTATATTTCAGCCTGAAACACCGTGGGCTATTTGCCCATGGAAACTGCAGGTTTGATCCTAGGTCCAAAAAAACCTGCATCTGCTATGTTCTCCATCCTTGAACCGTCTGTCTACCAATGTATCAAGTACATGGTACCATTTGCCCAAACATCGCGATCGGGGACTATAACTTGGAACTTTCTGCCAAAGCAAATCGCTCTAGCCATGGAATCAGAGATTCCGCATATTTTCAACTATATTATCTTCCCAACAATAACTGCGTGAGGCTTCTTTGCGAAGAAGCCGTCATTGGATAGCCGAAGCTGCAGCTCACTCGTGGCTGTTGTAATGAGTAAAACTTTGGAGAGGAGTCCATCCTAGAGACGACTCTAGAGCCGCAGTTGAACGTCTTCTTATTGATCTAGTTATCGATAGATATGCCAATCTTTGCAGTTTGTTAAGGCGAAGTATGGCAGTTTTTTTGCATTGTCTTATACCACCATGCTATGGATGCATAAGTCAACATCGTAACGAAACCCGTATAGTGCGATTGAGAGGCCGTCCACCACAAGTGGCCACAGAAAGCAAAAAATGACCCCAACCTGCGGGTAGCCTCTCACAGCTCTGATCTTCACTTGAGATAGATTCATAGCCAGTAGTGTCGAAAGCCCACTCTATGTTGGCCATGTTCATTTTATAAAACTGTTATAAAACTGGTATAAAACTAGTATATTCCATTATTCTCTCTTCGTTTTCTTTAATCTCAAGCGGTGCATAGCACCATCTGGGTCTGTTGCTGCCAATCGCTTTGAGCTCCTTCCACCTTAAGCTCAGTTGCTCCGCTTCTCTATCGACTGTTCATCTCCACGTCACACTGTGGTCTAGGGCCATGTTAATCTAATAGTTGAAAGAATACGCTACACGAATCAGCGAAAATTGTCGATAAGAAATATTTTATTTTTTTTAAATGAGAAACGTGATCGAAATATATCTACCCGTAAAGTCACTGTATGTAGCATATATATATGTATATGACTCGTGTTACTATTTGGAAAATACTAGTTTTTTATGGGACAACACTGGATTTATTGTGTGTACGTTATGGAAAAGTACGCAAAGGTAAGTCATATAAGTTTTTTTTTGTGTTATCAATAAAAAATAATTTTGGTTAATGGACTTAGTTTATGAAACTAGTAACTTTAAATTACTTCTGCGAAAATTAAAAAAATGCAGGTGTTTGCAGACCCATACGGTTTGAAAATATAGTCTAAAGCGGGGTTCAGACGATTTATACCTTTGTACAGATTTGTACATTTTGGCAGTTACAGAGAGCACTTGTTTGGAAATTTTTTTACTAAGCTGAATCCACTCTCGATAAAAATTTTTGGACAACATCACTCTGTGATTACCAAAATGTACAAATGTGCAAATTGTGTGACCCTTGCTTTATACTCTAACTTTACTTTTCAATATATGTACATACATAAATAAGGTCCTTCATGGATAGTCTATAATTTTTATGAATCTATTTCAGAGTATCCTCGAGTAATTACTCGTATGTTGGTATTTGATGAGTGGTCCAAGTTGAAAGATTTGAAAAGAAATTAGTGTTGTAATGAATTACTAAAGATAATATAAAACAACCTGATCTTCGCGATATATTGGAGAAAATTATCGATCATTTGGAATTACGCAATATGGTTCAAATTTCTGCTCCGCACGAGACTCGAAAAATTCTGAGCCGATTGAGTTTAAATCTATAGCATATACTCGTATAGGTGTCTATTGAGAATAGGTTAGGTTAAGTTAAGTAGAAGTGGGCGCCAGTGACCCCAGCAGCACACTTAGGCCGTAGGAAAGTTGTCATATGCCTATCTCGGATATATCGGTTAGGTCTTCGAAAATTCTTGAATCCATGAACTTTCGTTTTCTTTTAATAAGTGCGGAGCATTCACATAATAGGTGCCATAATGCCTCTGGCTACTCCATAAGTCGTTATAGAGAGGTTGGGACCTTTCCGCGTGCCTTTCGATGGAAGCATGGCCCACGATGGAAGACGACCCACGGCTGCTGCTAAGTCCACTCTGCTCAGCACGAGGAGGTACGTCGACCCGTTTTCGTCGCAATTTGGCCACGTAACTTTAATATTGTTGCAACTGTTGAGACCAGCCCAATTGTAACTTGCTAGTTTAAGAGATCGCTTGGAATGAGCTTGCAGGTATGAGAACTTTCTTGCAAGTTCGTTTACCTGGTATGCTCAGGTGCCCTCGCATCCATACCAAGTGAAGATCAGACTCATCACCAATCTCGTTAAGAGATCTTCGACAATCCGCTAGCTTTTAAACCGCATGTTACCGAGTCAAGCGTTTTTGAGTGCGGCCTGGCTGTCTAAATAGAGGCCAGGCTGAGAAGCAGGACTTTTTCTTTGGTTCATCTTTTAATTGAATTTGGTACATAGAGTTTGTGGAAATTTTCCGCTCACAACTACCGCAAGGTCGTTAGCATACGTAACGACCTGTTATTGTTTTAGTAAATACAAAGTTATGGTATAAAAATGAAGAAATTTTAAAATACGAGCATTTCAACGTTCTATCAGCGCTTTGGGACTTAATTTTTTATATTAAGTAAAAAGATCAGAAAACTTTAAAATTCATTGAGAACGATATATATATATATATACATATGCTCGTTTAAAGTAATAAGATACATATACATATATACACATAACTGCTTATAAAACTATTGATCACCTGCTAATTAATGACTAATATACATATACGTTTATACAGTTACACGCTTCCCATTCCTTTAATCATGCATAACTATCAACATTATCAAAATCGATTTATAATGCACAAAAATTCGCGATTAGATAAGATAATCCTTATAATGGCAACACGTAAAATCGACAAATAAAATTAGTTCATCTTATTTGAACAGTTCTAGTGTGGACAACGGCGAATGCGGTTAAATATTCCTCGCCAATACATATCACATAAGTGCCCGAGAAATGATAATAACGGCAAAAGTAGTAGCCATTTGTTTGGGCATATCCCTTACTGCCTTCACGGTGTCCACAATTGTGTTGGCTGTTCAGAAGGCGAATCTGCAGGCTGAGCTAGACGATGTACGCGATATATTGGATCAGTTGGAAAACGCTACTACCGCTACGCCTGGTACGACCACTGTAACTGCCGGCACTACCACCACTATTGCGACCACTGCTACAGCGCCAACAGTTGCCACAACCACAGCAACTACAGCGCCAACAGTTGCCACATCCACAACAACCACTGCGCTGCCGGAGACTACAACACCAACACCAGAAGTTGTGAGTTACCGGCTTCCCGACAGCATTTACCCAATCAGCTATGATCTTTATCTACATCCTGAAATTGATACGGGTAACTTTACTGGCCAAATATTGAT